AATGCAGCAGGGAGAAATAACATTTTGTCCCTTTTGCCAAATGCTAAACCTTAAATTACGCTAAGCGGCAGCCGACTACAAATTCACCAAGCCTGAGACCTCCAATTAGTATTGCTTACCATAACCACTGTATCATGAGGGAAATCCCGTAAAAGTGGACTAGAACTTAAGGCCACGTTCACCGGAGTATTCCAAAAATGGAACAGTTCCAAATATCCAGTACCTTGAGGAGCTTACGAAGATCAACATTTGCCAAACTGTAGGATGGAGCAGTGAAATCGATTCCAGTGCCATTAAAAGACTCCTAAAAAAGATGGGCAAGCATCAGTTGAACTCTATTTATCTACGAGATTCAAAAACAGAAGAGAAAATATTGATGAGTAAGAAATAGATATTTCTAAAGAGTGCGCCGCAAAGTAAGAATGCGGAGGCGCGCTGATCTTGCTTCGACTTAAATAAACCAAAAACGTGCAATGGCCACAAATCGCTGATCTGGAGAGAGCGACCTTGCTGTTGGAGTCAAGTAGACCTTCCTATGTCCGGTCCGGATATGAGGTAGTAAATGTAACAACCAGAGCAGAATCTAGACTATCACTGCCTGAATCTTGAAACATTAACTCACCTCTCCAGATTGACCGAAGACAGGTAGTAATTTCTCCGACTGTAGAAACGAGAAAAACATCAAATTTATAGTGTACGAATTGAGATTCCATGTCTGCAAACTAAAAGCATAACAATTCTGCCTACGAAAACCAAACGCTTGCCACTGACTCTCTTCTTCTCCGATGAAAAAACACCATTCGAAGCAGCCCATAGACGCAATCCTAGAACCAATTTACGCAGTAGACCGGATTGGTCGGCTTGCACTAGCGCTCCGATGTAGGCTGACTTTTGGCATCCGATCTTATTGTTCACGGATAATTCCACGAGCTAAACGAAGTCAGATTTAAATGTAAACCGTAGCGGAACTTTCAGAAACAGGTGTAATTGAGTAAGCTGCTTGCAAACAGTGTGAGAACGTTTACTCATACTCATAGATAAGCTCAACTTTTGACGATACTACCATAATCTCAAGATGACTGTATAGAGGTAGCTAAGGACGCTGTTCCAACCACTTTTAAAGGAAGTGGGTACGAAAAGGAATTTTCACATCTGCGGAGAACCTGCTCCCCACAGAGCAACTAGCAGGCCGCCAAGGAAGCGATGTGTGGCGCTTGCACTGCGAACAGTGCTGTGGTTGCTGAGCAGGACCATTGCGCCCTTCCGCCCCATGCGCCGCCCCGCCCCATGATTCATCGGTGGCTTGGGCGAGCCGTGTTGCCAGCCGCAGCGCGGTTAGGGCGCCATGCCTGCTGTTTCGCTGCCCAGCACGCGTTGCGCAATCTCGTCCACGCGTGCGCGGTCTTCGCCGCAGTCCATCTGAGAGCCGCAATAAACGGCCCAAAAGGGGGTCCCATTTCTCGTTTCCTGGACCGATTTCGCTGCTTCTTTCGCCACTGACGTACCATTGAGGACCCCCTCGTCCCCTCTAAACCCCATTCAAACCTAGCGTAACCGCTGCCTTTAATGAAATCTTTCTTTTGAGATCGGCGGGCTTGACACCCGTGGAACAATGCCGAAATTAGCCGAAGCCCGGATTTAGTTAGCGATAAACTCACATGTCTATCGTAGGATCGAAAACGTATCACTGGACATCGAGCATCTGATACAATGTACAAGCTCTTGAAAAACCCGCTCTTCTCTCGCCTCATTTCTTTCAGCACTCGGAATAGCACTTCCGTCTGTTCTGAAATCAATATGGCATCTTCTGCGAGATTTTTGTGAAAAAAAACTGAGCTTCGGTGAAACCACCAATGTGAGAACACCTTTGGGAGCAAATACCGATGACTAAAAACAACTGAAGAGGAATTGGCACGAGCCAACATGGCAGGGCACGCCATTTCACGGTGCCAGTCGGGACATTCAAACACTATCTTCCTCACCTCGTTTCGGAAGAACGCTCAACTCTTCACGATGTATAGGACTCTCCTGGAAATGCTCTGGAGGGCAGGAAAGCAGAGTATTCCCATCACGTATGAAATCGCCCATAGGGGAAGCGGTATCGTCCTTGAAGAGAAGACAGAGGTCCTGTAGACATGAGGTATCGCAAGAAATCTCGACAGAGTTATCACAAGATCTGAGTTATAGGCGGAACTTTACGCGGCAGGCAAGATTCGAAACTAATAGCCATTTCCTCGATTAGAGAGAGAAGCGGGTCCGAATCTAGCTTGAGGCGACGAGTTTTGCCCATACCTTAGCATTCTTGTGATAAGTTTCAAAACGAACTGCGGCCAAAACAGCAGAGAATAATTGAAAACAAGCCAAAAACAATATCTCGATAAGTTTGAAGCCTTACTATATCAGAGTCGTTCGTGCCTAGACCGGTTACAGCCGAACCAAATTGAATTATGTTTGGATCCTGTACATATCGACACAACAACTCTTCAAATCGCTTACGAAACGTGTTTCGGCGCAGAATCTATAAGCAACACTTCATTCACAGGTGTCGAGATCAGTGATAGGTATAGGCAACCATTGTAGATTTTATAAAAAATTTTAATACTAGGAGCATACCTCTTTCTCAGTTACACCAATGCAAGAGGTGATTCGATCGAGTTGAGCTGAGAAACCACGACAGCACTCATCGTTAACATGCTGGATGACCTGCAGACGTATTGAAATGAAAGAAGATCCCGTAGAGAACAAAAGTGTGAAGTTTCACAAAGACCACCATTTCCAGTCCACTTTTATCTTTACTGGTCAGATTCGCCGTCAAACGACAATTCATTTGTGTCTTGACCCTGCCTACTTGCACTTATCTCATCTCGTCTAAGTTTTTCATCCTTCTTCATTAGCATACTCCATTTAACACTACTTGCTGTAAATCCTTGATATTAAAATAATAGCTCAAAGCCTGCTTAGGATATTTTTTTCAGTTGGACCTGACGAAGAGCTGAGTTTGGACTAGCAAGGTTAGCGATTACGCATTACGCATTACTCAAACACTTCTGAAAGGACAGAACTTGAACACTGGCACCGAAATTCCTAAAGAGCGTTTTGACAGTGTAATGAATATAACAACACTAACGCAACTTGGAGTTTTTTCCAACAACTCCATAGACACAGACAAATCCAAAAAATATGAAGAGCGTTCAAAATTGACCCACCTCATCTATGTCGACAGTCGGACCATCATGCTCATCATGAAACGTCACACGTCGTTCATAAATGATGCCAGTCAGAGTCTTAAAGAATGATATGAAGAGATCAAATGAATTCATATTACACGTGGACCGATAACTAACTGTAAAAAAGAAAAAGCAGAAATAGAGCCGACTTCATTTATCCGAATGGATTTTGCTGCCTTCGCTCGCTCAACTGCATCTTCGCCATCGAATTCTACGAAAGCGTGATCTTGAAGAAACCCACAAGATACGTGGGTGACATCACCAAACTGAAAAAAGGCAGCATAATGTATTTAAATGTAGCACGTACCACAATAAACGCTTTGAAAGGCGAAGGCGAACTATAGTCAGCTCTGGGTATGATCATTGAATTTTACCGGGTTTCGACAGCAGTCACACGACTAGGTATTTCAAAGCACAAGCTTCTACGTCGGTTTGTCGGTGGGTCTGTCAGTGTGTCAACCGCTAGCACATGAGAGTTCGATTCGAATCAATGCCCAATCACTGCACATGATCGTGCAGTGACAGCGAACGAAACCAACCACCATCAAGTCCAAATCAATGCAGGGTTCATTTTGCGTTGTGCGCTATTAGGGCAAGAACCCCACTACACAGGCACCGCCTTCGGACATCGCCTCATTTTCAGTAGTGTTGACATTACAATGGCTACGGGTAGAATGTCAGCAAAAGTTAGTCCAACATGACACTTCACCAGTGGATGAGTCAGCTGGACTTAATGTGATAGGGTGTCCAATCTTCCAATGGAGGATGTCGTGTGATCAGGGACAGCGTGCGAAAGTGACAGTTAGCAGGACAGGAGACTTTTTGAAAAGCTTTGTGAATCTGAATTAGCTCGTAAGTGCAGAAAATCACATCGAATCTGAAGATGCAACTAGCTGTCGTCCTCTCCACTGCATCCTGGACTCAGCTCAGCAGCTCCGGCATCTAAGCAGCTCCAGGTCATCCTTCAAATTCGATACCTTCAAATACTTTTGCGACCCTTCCCCCATAGCGTGGTCTCGATACGACTCACTCACCCCACAGCTCGGAGGGAAGAGTCCAGTTAAGCCCTCCCTCACACTCGACCACCACACTCCACTATGCCTGTTTCTTGTTTCTATAATGTACGAAACAGTATCTGATTCTGAAGCCTGGCGACATACTCCAGCTCCGCCACCCCCCCCCCAACCTTTTCGCTCAACGGTAGAAGGGAATTGAGGGGAGGGAAAGAAGTAGCTACTTCACTTAACGCTTCCTTCCGAAGTTTTGCGCAGAATCGTCGTAAATCGACCCCTCTCTGACAACCACGAGGCCCTGCGCAACTTTGAAGCTGTGTACAACGCCCTTACTTTGACCTACCAGCAACCCTCTCCAAAACACTATTGCGCTCGTGGTCAACCTCTCCACCCTTGCCTCCTCAGGAAGAATTCCGCGTGCGGAAAGCTGTTACTATATGCAGCAAATAAGCTGCGATTAACGTTTCACAGTTGGTCACACGACCATTAGGATCGGATGACCAACTATGAAAGTCACGCCGATCGATACGCATGTACTACTCCACACTCGGATTTTCGAAATACCACGATTGTGTCGACCATCCGACACATTCGACGAAATATGTAAGCTATACGAAGTTATTACGAGCAACAGTCCAGGAACGAATTTGCGGGCCAAAAGCACCTATATGGAAGTTGTAGGTGAAAAGTGGTCGAACGTAAAGAGAAAAAGTGAAGAAAACGCCCAACTGGGGCTTAGACAGGGACATGCCCTGCCGTTTAGGGAGACGTGTGTTGGACGAGTTGTCCGAACCTGCCCGTAGTACATGCGCTTTAATTGCAACTGCTGGCAAATAGCTGCATGCTTGCAAATACATAACTATTTGCCAGCAATCGAAATTGAAGCGCTTCAATTGCGTTCTTATGGAATCGACCTCATACAGCGCGGCGGTCCCGCAACGACCGCTAGTCAAGCACGGCTCTGCACAGCGTATGTTGGGCGATCCGCCTCTTTATGGGTGATCCGCCCCCTCCAAGAGGACTTCGACCCCTTCCAGCGCATTTTAGAGGTAGGTTTTGAAATTAAAGACATTTCCTATAAACTTTAGTTGGGCTGGGGCATGTTTTGACCGCCTAATGACCAAGTAGTTGAAACCCTGCCTGGACTGTTGCTTTAAGGCAGCGCATGTTTGTGGGAACTCCGTCAACCATAACTTGGCCAGAGTGTTAATATGAAACAAAGAGCAAAGAAAATGTCGCTGATCGCAAGACAAATTTATCTAGTTCAGCCCAAAGAATGGTAATTAAGTGCTGAGTGGCCAATGGTTCCCATTTACTCCAACAGCTAGCAAAGAAATCAAAGCACTACTAAAGGTGACTTACAATGCTAAAAGCGGAGGCAATGACTTTAGGATCCAAAACTTCATCACCAGCACCACGTTTGAACGTCAACGCCACAAATACAGATTTCTTAGGCAATTCAGCTGCCTGGGCCTGACGTTCGAGAGATCTTTGATGTCGTCTTCCGGACTAAAATATTTTGGAAAATCTTCAAACCCTTCGCTTTTGAAGTTTTTTTTTTTTTCAAACAAAGCAAAATACCCACAAATTGGCTTACCTCATGGATTGATTTCGATTCTCCTCCATCTGGATATTCGCTATTGCAGAGCTCGCAAAGCCCCATGCCGAGGACGTGGTTCGGCTATTCTAGACGCCGAAATATTTGAAAACGTGGACATTGGTCGCAGTCACGACGGCCGCGCGCCATCTACGGACAGCGCCGATTTTTCTTCAAATTTTGACATGCTTTAGCTTTTTTCTCTCTTTAAGAAAAGAGTATCCGATCCCACGATTTGCCTGTAAGCCAGCATAATCCCAGATGATTTCATGGTGTATTTTTTTTTTTGTTTTTTTGGGCAGGTAGTGGCCTGGTGGTATGCGGACGTTTCTGCGATTATTATCGTCTTGGAAATTTTTGCCCAATAGAAAGCAAGTGTTCTATAAGAACCAAAAGGAGGCCTTCCGCGAGTTTTGTAGAGTATCTGGCGCGAGTCTTCTTGTCTATCTTGGATTTATCGCTTTTATTGTGTGAGTTTTTTTTGTATCATTATCTTTTCTGTAATTTGCTTGTCTTCTATCTTTTTTTTTAACTACCTTACTTCATTTTCTTATTGGATAGTCTGTACAGAAGGCTCCTTAACATGTTCTGCATTTCTTTTGTTGATACCTCAATTTTATTCGTAATCCCTAGTTTGCTGCATTATTTTGAGACCAGATTAGTCCCCCGTCAACCGCCGGACCTGCTATCTTGCGCAAGCTTCTATCTCGCTATTGCGTCCCTTCCTCCTGTGAACCAACACGGGTGTGGGTACTTAGGACAGAACGCGACTTTTTCGCTCTTCGCAACGCGACATCGCGCGGCAGGCTGGCGCACCCGCAGCGAAAACAACTACGGTATATAAGAACGCGCGATTGGAGCGCGATATTTGTGTCGGCTTTGATTGCGACAAGGAGTTTGAAGCTTAATAGCCATGGATTTGATAATGAACGAGGAAATGGTAACCAGAAGTGGACCGCTAACTAGCAGTGAAGAGGGAGGTAGGTTATTTTTGCAGAGATGGATGGTAGAGCTTCTGGAGAACCTGGAAGAGGAATGGTTGATGGACGTTTGATGAGACGACTGTAAACTTCTGCATAGGGGTTATTTGGGGCCCTGATCATGAATATGACACTCATTTTTCACATTCGTGCTGTTTAACGCATACTTTCTGCTTTACTAAGCTTTCTCACCTACAGCGCCTACGACTAAGCTTAGGGGAGGGGAGTGAAACTCCGGAGTGGGTAAACCACGCACCGTGTGGCAAAAGTTGGAGTGTGTCAGACCACAGGGGAATGGCCTACCCACTTTGGAGCCCTACACTACTCAAAGGCTTAGTCCTATTGCGATCTAATTAGTGCGAGGGCGCAGACGAGCAGGAAGCAGGCGCCGAATAGCGCTAACAACAAATCAGGACCCCGAATAACCCCTATACAGAAGTTTACAGCGAATTTAGTGGGAATCAGTTGTGGCGCCACCCGGCCCCAAATGGCGCCAGCGTCAAAATGAGTATCATATCCGTAATGAGGACAGAAGCGTTCCGTAAAAGATGTTATACCCTTATGCAGATGTCTATACAACAATATGAACCCACAAAATGCAAGCACAAGCGACACTATTAAACCCTCGTTCACCGATAATTCGTAAAACACCATTTGTGTGGCATCGCCCGGAATCGTGTAAGTCACAAAACGTTTTCAATAATGAGACAGAATTAGTGATTCACCGCATTTATCAATACAATGGGTGTGAGCGCGGGCAAGTAAGGAATCAGAAACTTACAAATTCACGCATGCAAAAAAGCTGCTCCAATCGCGCGTTCTTCCATACCGTAGTTGTTTTCGCTGCGGGTGCGCCAGCCTGCCGCGCGATGTCGCGTTGCGATGAGCGAAAAAGTCGCGTTCTGTCCTAAGTACCCACACCCAACACCTCCTGGAAGTGACGCGTATGCAACACAATGGTGTTTCAAACAGTAGAAGGGACACAATCATGATATGACGGTAGATTTTTCGCTTCCCTTCCTCATCCTCCCTTCCTCTCTCCACTGCCCTCCAGCTGCCACTGCAGCACCATGTGGAATGAACGGAAGTGTGCTAAGCAGGTGTTTATATAGCCCTAAGAGTGTTATCACAACTATCCTGCTACAAAACATTGATATCTCAAATCCTGTAAGCTACCCGATTTGTTAGCGGTTTGTTTATCCCATGAGCTTCCTTCTCACTCACTTCATTTTGCGGACGGACACACATACATACATACAATTAC